ATAGAGCAGCCGGAAAGCCTCAATCCTGGCCATCTAGGAGACAATCTCGTGTGTCCCTCCAAATGGATATTGTCAAGCAAATCGGGTTTCTACAAGATAAAAATTTTGAATGGAAAACACAACGTTTTATTCCAAACAACATTTGGCCAACGCATGAAAAACTTGACAATAGTAAAAAAAAATGACTAGGCTAGCATAATTATGTTACCATCTAGTCGAGCAACTATGTGTCAACCCATCTGCGGTTAAGGCAAGGCCTTGCAAGAACCTTGATTGGGTAACACATGGTCACCAGAGAGGGAGAGTTAATCCATAGGGATATATTGTAAGGTCAGGGATCCTCCGTACTTCTCGTTAAGATCAACAGTCATTAGGGGAAGTCTGAACAAATCATAGGAGTTGATAATTCCAAGATTCTAGGAAGTCTGAACAGATCATAGCATGTGATCAGCCTTTCCGAAAGTGACCATTGGTTTGGCCAGCATAAGAATTTTTTTTTGCCACTCTAGACAACATGCTTTTTTTCCTAAACATATCCCAGGATGGGGGTCCACTAGTCGCGGGTCCTCGAAGGACTGTTCGTCCATATTAGGGACGGGTGTATTCTTGTTGATTCTCACCTTCTTGAAAGGGTTTAATATCACGACTTTATCTAAGTCAGTTGCGAGATCGAAGTGGACGTGGACCTCCTCGAACGAACTTGGCACTACAAAGTCCAAATAGTCCGAGGCGAGTAACTTTCCTTCGTTCAAGAGTTTCTGTTGAGGTTTTTGGGAAACGGAATAAGATCTTCGATCCTCTAGGGATTCCTTGGGCCAGGATTCAACCTCCAACCCGACGAATCAGGGGATGCAGGTTGCTCCATCTCCATATCTCGTGGGTTGTGATTCAGACTGGTATGAGTGCGCAACTTTCAAGCGTTGTCACAAAGGGTTTGACCATTTGCTTCTTCAACTTCCTCTCCTTCTTCTTCCCCTTCTTATCCACCTGGTTATCTTAAAGTTTATCTACCACTTCACATGAACCTTTTGTTTTGCCTCATTTTTCCCACACTGGGATTAAGACACGGCCCAGACTCCTACGGGAGGCAACAGTGGGGAATCTTGGACAATGGGCGAAAGCCTGATTCAGCAATATCGCATGAGTGAAGAAGGGGATTAACCTTGTAAATCTCTTTCATCGGTAGTGAGATTATGATAAAAACCGAAGAAGAAGCCCCGGCTAACTCCGTGCCAGCAGCCGCGGTACGACGTTCCAAATAGCGTATCACCGTCTCCTTACAGGAAGGCCGCAACGGACCCTCAACCTTTTCTCCTCCAGTTTCTCTTTTTCCTTCACTCTCCCCGCAACATCACCGTCTGATTTCTTATCCTTTACCGGGTCCTCATCCTCCTTTCTTTTCGGTCTCTCCTTCTCCTCCTTATCCTTCCCTTTCACAAATCAAAGCGAATGTCTCTCAAATGCAGGGTTAGTGGGTATTTGTAGGGAAGATGCTCCTTAATCACTGGATCAAAGGCATCTTCAACTGCCACTTTAAAGGGGACCATTGTCGATACTAGAACTTCAAGGGAGTGAATCCACAAGAATTTATGGCACATGGACTTCCTCTATTCAAACAACTGCTTTTCCGACATGTAAGGGTGGAAGGAGACCGTGTGAGTGATAGCATCCAGTTCAATTTTTTCCTCTTGTTTCCTTAGCATCCATGTTGTTATTTCTTTCACTGTTGCTACATATGTAACTGGTTTGCAACCCTTATTACGAAATACACCCCTCTTGGGCAGGGCTCTTGTGCCTCCCATTGCAGCCCATCCATTCTCATGGATTCTTAGTGGTCTGTTTTTAACATCCACTGGCAGAGATGTACTATGTGACGCCCAACCTGACGCCCAACACGACTAAGTCTTCCTGATCAGAGTGGGATGGGGCCTCGGAAGTGCGAAAGAGGGGTGTGCCAAGGATTTTAGCAAATTGTAGAGAAGTCTCAGGTCGGAACTGGGATCTCTTGTGGCCAGTTCAAGGGTAATTGAGCAAGAGGGTAGTCCCAAGTTGCATCGGTAGCTTGGGCTTTGGGACACAAGGCTATCGTTGGTGTGAGTATCGGCGTCGTGGTCGGTCTCGGATCTGATGGACCTTCGAGACGCTATGAGTGTCGCGCTGGCTGATTAGCCATCTGCGTCGCTCGTAGCAGACTTCGGAGTCTGACGAGGCCGGTCTCAATCGGAGATTGTGCGATCGCTGGTCCGCCTCGGTTCGGGTCCGGCGGACGAATCCCGCCGTGCGGTAAATACGGTCTTGCTGGCACTCCAAGCACAGGGTCTACGGCCAGTAGGGGCCCATCGCGCACCAGGAGACCGTTGTTAGATAGTGAAAGGGGATTACAATGCGGTGGGGAGGATAATTGGTTTGGATGATGGCAACTCTCGGTTCGGCGATGACGTGTCGTGCGTGCGAGTGAGGAAATTGGGGTGGGAGGGGAATCGCGTTTAAGGCCCGTTCAATATCCCATTCGCATACGCGCTCCGTTCCCTCGTAGAAAGGGAACTCGGGGGGATGGGACCGGGGTCGCGCGGCTTGATAGGCACGCTCCCGTTCCCAACGTTCCCGAAATCGTTGACGCCTCAGACTCTCGCGGTCCATGATGTAGAAGAGAATCTCAATGTCCATACCGAAAAAAGAGGTTGACTTCATCATAGGCCTTCGGGGGCGAGTCCAGTGGACGTGCGTGGAAGTCGCGTCTTGGTGATCGTACTTACACGCGGGTGTGCGAGACTCGATTCCCGTTGATGGGTCGTTTCAGATGCCCCCGTGGTTCCCCAAAGGTTCGTCATGCAACTACTAGATCAAAAAGAAAGACAACTTTCGGGCATAACATAAGGCAATCTCTTGGCAAGCCAGCCATTCATGCATCGATAAGCTACTAAGAGTTCATCATCTAGCCAATCCACTCAGAGCAATCAAAAAGATTAATTAGTTTCTTAACCTCGCAAATTCCTTCCAGAGTACTGTGGAACTCTTCGGTGATCAAGTTTCTCGTGGAACATTCATTCATCAGACCTTCACTCATTCATGAAAAGACGACACGCATCCCCATTGGTCAGACACACTCTCCAAGATTGACACTCGCATCCAACAAACAGAGGCATTCAACCCACACCTATCAACAAGGAAGAAGAAGGGAGAGTAGAGTTGCACACCAAGCGACACCATCGCAACAAAATCGGAGACACAAAAGATGGCTTTCGCCTGAGACCAAAATTTTATAGAAGGAAAAGAAAAGAAAGGTCACGATCCCACACTTGTCTGTTCCTCACTCTCTCTCTCTCTCTCTCTTTCTCTCTCTCTCTCTACACCATGTCACCTCCGATGCGGAGAGTCCGTCGTCTCGCACCAACACCGAGTCGTCACCCCGCTTAGTATAAGCACGCACGCCAGGTTCGCCCATGCGCCACAGTCCGTCGTGGCTTGCACGTCAACCCCGCTTACTTGGCACCAGCCCGTCGGATCGTCCGACTGACTTCTACTCACCTTCCAACTTGCTCGTTAGTCGATCCTCACTAAACCGCGCTAACCTTCCAAATCCAGAGAGAGCGAATCAGTCGTGCTTGCGAAATTTATAGCATGTGTGCTCGCGTGACAAGCCCGGGATCATACCCAAGACAGAAGGAAGAAGGAGAGAAGGGAAGTGCCTACGTTCTGCATGGCCAGGCCGCGGTGTGGGGGTCGTTGCCACTCTCCACTCATTGATATGGGCATGCAACGCTTCAGCCTATCAAAACGAGGGAAGATGCATGCACAACAGGAAGGAAGAAGGCGGGAAGAAAGGCGAGAGAGTCAAGAAGAGAGATACAGTTACATTTGCGCCCACCAAAAGATATAGTTACACGCAAGATTAAGGGCGTGACTTAGTCAGAGCTCTGCTCCCACCGCGGCAAGGTGCGCACTAATCAAGAAGCGTAGCGTAGCGAAATTTCAAGATTCCTAAATATCAAAATCCAAATTGCAGAGGAAATTCCGACGAAACAAAAAGTTTTGAAAAGAAAAAAAGGAATTTAACAATTTCGAGAGGCCAAAGGGGCTCGTCATCAGTTGAAAGAAAATTTCGAAAAAGAAGACGACATTCCTGCGCGTTCGTCACGCCAAAATTCTTGTTCCCCTTAGCCCCAGCAGAACAAGAAAGAAGCTATGGCAACTGTTATTTCTCGCGCTCGCTAAGGCGCGGTCTCCTAACTGCCTACGCGGGACTTTTCCCGATATTGGCCCGACAAAATCGAAAAAGAAGCGAGGACATCCATGTAACTTGCCCAACCGAACCATCCCCACGTACTTCACCCTACTAACCTGTCTCGTTCCCTCAAGGCAGCTTCACGCAGAAAGTCGAGCGTGATTACAAAAAATGGTTTTTCACATATGTGACGCCCAGGGGGTTCCAATCTTGAGCAAGCTCCCACTTGCTTACTCATCATGCGTCGATCTATAACCCGAGGATCGACGGGGAGCTTACACATGCCACTCACTGTGAGATAAGAGTGTGGAAGTCATTCAACGTGGCATTCGCAGATTCTATCCTAAATGTTTCCGGGGAAGGGCAATCTGATGACGGGAGGAGGAGGTGGTGGATGGACTTGGGGGAGAGGAGGTATGAAGCGACGGATCTCTCCATTGCTGGTGGGGATCCGGGTGTAGTGGATGGTGTGGTGGCGAGGGAATTGGGGGTGTTCCCATTGATGGGGGAGAGACGCGAGATAGTCGGGGTAGAGGGTGGAGAGGGTGTGAGGGATGACAGCATGGAAGCTCTCGTAATTCTGGCAGGCGGGGATTGTGCCTGAGATGAAGCAGTAGACCTCTATACTATTAAATTCCCGCTAGGTCGCGCTGAAAAGAAGGACATAGAGAGGGAAGGAGGCGACGAAGGAGCGGGTGGTAGCACGAGGGACGACGCGGGTGGCGTACAATTGGTGGAAGAGAGAGGGCGGGAAAGGGCATCATCCATCAGGGAACCGGGGTCGACCCAGGAGTTGGTGAGGGGTGAGGAAGTCAAGGGGACGACGGGATAACGACAGGGGACGAAGCCCGATCGCCCGCATCTCGACGAAGGCGAAGAGTGGCTCGGGATGGCGGAGAAGACGGAGCCAGTGATTCGCTCCTTCGGCGGCTTCGGCTTCCTGATCCCTCAGCCATGGCTCCATTTCCTTCGGACTCTTCGTGCGGAGGCTCCGGATTTAACGATGGATCGCCTAGAAGCAGTTGTGGTGGCGACCTTTCAGGTTCTCCGACTGGCCGCTTGCCCTCCGCTTTCTCCCGCCTCCAGTAATCTTCAACCTCTTCCTCCTCTTTGCTTTGCCTGGGGCGGCAACTCGGCTCTCCCGATCCACTTTCCTCTCCCGTCACCTCTTTTTCTTCCCCTGACCTGATGTAATCGGGATCGTCCTGATCGGTTCCCGATTCTTCCTCTTTTGCCTCCTCTTGTTCTTCTTCTTCCTCGTCACTGGCTCCTAGCGCGTTTCCTCGCCGGACAAAGGGGTCCCACAGTGTGAGATCAGTGACATCGATTTCGAGATAGAGGCTCGGGGACGGGTAAAGGCAGTAATCCCCGTCCAGCTCCGTACACGTGGACCACAGCAGATGTGGTGCAAGCATGCGAGCGAGCACGTCTGTCCCCGACTTCTCGTCACAACTCGACAGGATGTCGAGGGGTAAATCGTCCACCAACTGCGCTAAAAACACCAGCAACTCGTCCGTGATTGCGTCGAGATGGCCTATTTCCACCTTGCCGAATAATATCCCTAGCAATTCCCCCTCCATATCCATCCGCCAAGCCTGCACGATCAACAGTTCTACCTTGTCATTCCGGACCTCACCCCCTTCAGCTTTTGGGGCCGGCTCTGCCCAATGAAACAGCACGTCCACCAAACAGAAGCCGAGTCCTACGTAAGCGTCCCACCACTCGTTCCATTTGTCTTCGTCCAAGATCGACACGCTGAGTTCCCGGATCCGGAAAGAGAGGGTGGGATCGATAGCAGGTTGCGAGAAGGTGGGGAGATCAGATGGAAGATTGAAGAGGGAGAAACGATGATCGTTCATTGGGGCTGCTCAAAGGGAAGGAGCTCCGGGAGAAGGATCTCGGCGAGCTGCTCGAGGTGCGGGGTCGGAGATCTATGTCGTTTGAGATCATGATCCTTTCCCCCGACCGATCCAGCAACTCGATCCACGTGGCCGTGATCTCCTCGGCCCAGCCCCGCAACAACCGATAGATGTCCGTATGAATCGTCGAGTTTATCGCCGTGATATCACCCATGAAGGTGACGATGACGGATATGTGGCTAATACCGGGTGAGGAACGGCGCTAGAAAGCCGAAATCTCGGCCACTACACGCGTCGCCCCTGCGTGTACGAAGCGGAACTCTGCTGCTGCGTGGATGGCTGTTGTGCTGAAGAAGGCCTCGAATCGAAGAAGATCGGGTCTCAACCAAGGTCGCTGCACGTGCTGGATTATCGCTATACGCCCCCTCGGGGTCATCAGACGCTCGTTGATCACTTGCTCCGTCCAAAAACTCATGGCGATGGAGGCGGAGTTGAAGACGATGGTTGAGAAAGAAAGGAGGATTCCAGATCGTCATCGTCTTCCTCTTGACCGAGGGACGATGTAGATGGTGGAGGAGAAGGGGAAGAGAAGAGAGGACGAAGGTAGGACACGTGTCGAATGATAGGAGAGCCGATAGACTTCCCGACACCTCCAGCGCAAGCCGCACCGTGTTCACCCTGCCTGGACCGAGCTCGACCATGCGAAATCACCTAAAGAATCGTGGCGCTAGCTTGCCCTGGCGAGCACATTTCCTCACCTACATGATGTCCCCTAATTTATATTGGGGCCGAGGCCTAGCGTTCCCATTCCGGGCCTCGTAGCTCCTGACCTGTCTTCCATGGGCCATTTCTGTCATTCGTTGTCTTTTTTAGGCCAATCGGGGGAGGATCTTTTCCATCAGTTCTAGGTGGCGTTGGACCTTATCCTTAACTGTCGCCCTAGTGGTCAGTCGCGAAAGGGTCGTTTCATCATTTAGGCTCGGTAGGCCTACATAGGGTAGGCTATTGGTCCGTAGTTGAAAGGGGGACAGACCCGTGGATTCGTGGGGTGTCCCCCGGTGGATATCCAGGATATTGTCCACGATGTCGGGCCAAGGCCTCGTGTCATTTGCCACGATATTGCGTCGCAAAGCGGTCTTAATCACTCGATTAGCGTTTCCACCAGTCCGTTAGATTGCGACATGTGGGGAGCAGTATTGCGGATAGAGACACCGTGTAAGACTAGATTCCTCAAGACTTCCCCTCTAAATTTTGCCCCATTGTCCGTTAGGATCTCCTCTGTGTTTTGGTGCATCCCGAGAAAATGGTTAACGTATCACGCGATTTCGGCCGCCTGTCACGTCTTGCATGGATACGCTTCGATCAATTTCAAAAAGTGATCCACTAATACCAACGGAGTTGAATATTCACTGCTAT